AATGCTATTTTGAAAGCAGTTATCGCTACCATTTGAGTCGTCAAAAAGTTCAAATAAAAAAATACTAGCCATTACCAGTGCATATTTGAAAAGGACAACATTCTAGTCTTATTGTGCATAGCACACAGAATGCGGCAGATGAGATGCAGTTATGCTACTATTCGAGAATTCAATTGTGGATTTGCATAGCGAGAGAACCCAGTTGTCCATAACGCATTGCATTTTGCAAGGCATGATTGTTGTAGGAAGTGTCTAGTTTTTTTTCTTCTTCCTCGAGCCGGGCTATTCAAACCTGCAAATCTAAGTAAACAATCATTCGAACACTTACGCTAATGCAAAGAAATGGATGACAAATTTGCATGAATCGAGACTCGTCTACCCTTTTAGGGGAATTATTACTGTACATTTGGGATTTGCAGAATATGGCGTCCTGTCCTTATAAAAATAAGACAGGCTGCCATTTTTGTTTTCCTTTTGTCTGATTTTAAAAAATAAAACTGTCTGAGAATGTGGGAGAGGCTGTGGAGCGAGGCACCAGGGGGGATCGGAGTTGCTCTGCAGTCAAAATGCTCCTTATTTTATGTTTTATGGGTTTGCATTTTAAGTTCTAAAGTTTTGTGTATTTTTTATCTGGAAATAAACGTAGACGTCCAGATAGAATAAAGGAAAAGTTAAGTAGGCTAACTTTTGTTTTAGTTCACAAGTCTAGACCAGCCTCAAGTGATTTGTCTACCCTTATTATAGCCTGATAATTGATTACTTATTTATTTTCATAACTGTTTTAAGAAAATGATTTATAGAGCAAATAATAGCCTATATTATTCTTATTGCAAATGTGACGTTGGGCTAACGTTGCACGATTGACATACTAGCCTAATTTTCCGCAAATTGTTTGAAGATGGATAGCCTGCAGCCTATTACTTTTAATTTCCTTAAACACGACTAGCCTATACGTTTCGGTCTATAGGCTACAGTCATTTAAAAAAATCGTACATCTGACTGTCTAGAAAGCAATAGACACCATTTTGAGTGCGAAACAGCAGTATGTCGGTTTTTATTGCGTAGGGGCATGACACAGAACGATAAAATCATCACTTTGATATCGGTTCAAATCGATTTAATCCGTGCGGACACATTTCAGATTGCGGTTCTCACCACAGATGTTTCCAGCATGCAGCTATTTCTGCTATGACTCAAGTAGTTTATATATAAAGTGGTACACCGTGGCTATTTCACTGTCTGTAACAACTAATGCAAAATATTGTAATATTTCAATTGAAGACATTGCTTCCTCAATACAATTTAAATTTGTTTCAATATTGTATACTGTCAAAAATGCGGGTTTAAAAAGATCGTTCAAAACCACAGTCTGTAAGATTAGTTGTTGTTATTAAAAAGTAACGTTGCTCTCCTTGAATAGCAACTAGAGCACTACTTATACATAATAGAAATCAAGCAATATTTGCACGTGGAAAGGTCATGGGATACATTTGCTCCATTGTTAAACATTTTTGCAGTGGTCTACTATTTAATATTAGGCTCATTTCACAGAGTGTGGCTTTAATCGGAATTAGGCATTAGGGGGATTTCAAGTGGCTCAGTCAATAACAGGAGTGAAGTGTGTTAATTTCCCAACATTGATCCTGGAGACCCAAAGTGTAGGACTATGTTGGATTTTACTCCAACTGAGTATCAATAAGAAACATAGTTAGTATATCAGATTAGCAACCTATTATCTGAAAAACACTGGTAGTCACCTATCCTCTCTGCAGCTTTAGTTACGTGGAATAGTTACGATTTCATCCAGTCTTGCTAATGGGAGTAATTGATTTAGATTGAAACCTGCACACAGAACATTCCGGGGACTGACTACTTTTTATAGATCTTGCAGCTGGACCTGATCCAAGGCTCGATTCTCTACCATGTCCATGTTATCCCTGAAATAACCTCAAAAAGTCTGTCAGTTTAGTGTCAAATGAAATGTGATTGATTTATTGAAATTACGTCCACCATACACAAGAGGGACCAATCTAGACAAAGACAAGTCATAATAAAACAGGATACAGTCTTGGTTCTGGGGGTAGCCATGGCATAGACAGATTTATTTCCTGTCTGATTGTTTGATTGTTGATTATGGCAGTAATACATTTGTAGGCATTACAGTCTCCGTCAAGCAGGATGCTCTACACTTTGTTCATCTCGAATACACAAAGGACTCTACTTTAATATAGTTTGACACTTTTCTTTGTTGCCTATGAAGCTGGTTGGTTATTATCACCAACATCAAACATGGCATATCAAAGACAGAGACTGCGCTGTCATATGGGGGAGATGATCAACTCTCTGCCTATATTCGGCTGAAGCCCAGGAGACTCAGAGTGCCTCCAGGAAGTGAAATGGACACCCTGTCGGCATTATTAAGGAAATATTTTCTGGATTTGGGTTCATATGCCTAGACATATCATTTTAGTTTCTTTTGGCTCATGCAAATGGACTGTTTTACGCTGCTGCTAAGTCAAACAGACTTCAGAATGGTGGACTGTGCCAAAACACACAATGCAAAATGGCATAGAAAGAAATGAATAAGGATTGAAAAGAGAAGCGATGGAAATAAAGCCCACAGATCGCAGACGTCTATGAGCAAGCAGCAGGCTCTACCATGGGACAAAGAGCAGCAATGCCCCTTGCCCCAAATACTTCCAAATTTGACTTTTGCATAGAGAGATTGGAGTGAAAATCAGTTCAATGACATTCACTCTAAATTGATTAAATAGAACAACAGGGAGCGGGGATGTAGGTTATTTTGTTCCCTATGAAAATATTGACTACAGAAATACCATATATTTTCAAACGCCTCAACCATCAATGCAAATCTATCTTTAATCACAAAATGTTATAGGAAACTGCCAATATGGCTCTATATAGTTCACATATAATAGTTTCAGTTGTGCTCAGACTGTATGAAAAACGTATTATACAACCAGTCTGTCTCAGGCCAGATTGGGGCCTCCCATCACGTATACAGTGAGGGAAAAAAGTATTTTATCCCCTGCTGATTTTGTACGTTTGCCCACTGACAAAGAAATGATCAGTCTATCATTTTAATGGTAGGTTTATTTGAACAGTGAGAGACAGAATAACAACAAAAAAATCCAGAAAAACGCATGTAGAAAATGTTATAAATTGATTTGCATTTTAATGAGGGAAATAAGTATTTGACCCCTCTGCAAAACATGACTTAGTACTTGGTGGCAAAACCCTTGTTGGCGATCAGAGGTCAGACATTTCTTGTAGTTGGCCACCAGGTTTGTTGCACACATCTCAGGAGGGATTTTGTCCCACTCCTCTTTGCAGATCTTCTCCAAGTCATTAAGGTTTCAAGGCTGACATTTGGCAACTCGAACCTTCAGCTCCCTCCACAGATTTTCTATGGGATTAAGGTCTGGAGACTGGCTAGGCCACTCCAGGACCTTAATGTGCTTCTTCTTGAGCCACTCCTTTGTTGCCTTGGCCGTGTGTTTTTGGGTCATTGTCATGCTGGAATACCCATCCACAACCCATTTTCAATGCCCTGGCTGAGGGAAGGAGGTTCTCACCCAAGATTTGACGGTACATGGCCCCGTCCATCGTCCCTTTGATGCGGTGAAGTTGTCCTGTCCCCTTAGCAGAAAAACACCCCCAAAGCATAAGGTTTCCACCTCCATGTTTGAAGGTGGGGATGGTGTTCTTGGGGTCATAGGCAGCATTCATCCTCCTCCAAACACGGCGAGTTGAGTTGATGCCAAAGAGTTCGATTTTGGTCTCATCTGACCACAACACTTTCACCCAGTTCTCCTCTGAATCATTCAGATGTTCATTGGCAAACTTCAGACGGCCCTGTATATGTGCTTTCTTGAGCAGGGGGACCTTGCGGACGCTGCAGGATTTCAGTCCTTCACGGCATAGTGTGTTACCAATTGTTTTCTTGGTGACTATGGTCCCAGCTGCCTTGAGATCATTGACAAGATCCTCCCGTGTAGTTCTGGGCTTTTTCCTCACCGTTCTCATGATCATTGCAACTCCACGAGGTGAGATCTTGCATGGAGCCCCAGGCCGAGGGAGATTGACAGTTCTTTTGTGTTTCTTCCATTTGCGAATAATCGCACCAACTGTTGTCACCTTCTCTCCAAGCTGCTTGGTGATGGTCTTGTAGCCCATTCCAGCCTTGTGTAGGTCTACAATCTTGTCCCTGACATCCTTGGAGAGCTCTTTGGTCTTGGCCATGGTGGAGAGTTTGGAATCTGATTGATTGATTGCTTCTGTGGACAGGTGTCTTTTATACAGGTAACAAGCTGAGATTAGAAGCACTCCCTTTAAGAGTGTGCTCCTAATCTCAGCTCATTACCTGTATAAAAGACACCTGGGAGCCAGAATACCCATCATTCAGTGTGTTGGTTAGAGAGCCTGCTGATGAGCTGACAGAGAGGGAGAATAAACAAGGCCTCATGGGTATTTCCATTCCCATGAGAGGATCCGTGTGACTCACATGTTTTTCTTCTTTTAATAATTTCTTGCTGATTTGAATCCTCTGCTAATTCTCAGCTGTCTGTGGGCAACGGTCGAAAGTTGTGACTCAGAAAAGTGTGATGAATAAGCTCTATACTTAGCTACAGTGCATGTGGAACTGGAAACAAACTTCTGTGGTGGACATGATGAAGGAAGAGGAGGGGAGAAAGTTAGAAAGTAGTTCCATTTACTTTGAATCGTGAGGCTAGCATACAAAACATTTACAAACATAAGCCCAGTGTTTGGCAAGTGGCTAAATGGCAAGCATTAACAATATATACGTCTATTGCAATAAGGCTATTGGAGATTCATAAACTGTTTATAAACTCATATTAAGTGCTGCAAACATTTGAATTAATTGTATGATGCTGAATAAGCTGTGTTGTTGTTGTTATATCTATTTATATGGACAGTGTGCAGAATATAATATTTAAATCTGGTTTGTTTGTCACAGGATGGCTGAACCTCGGTTTAATAATCCCTACTTCTGGCCTCCACCACCGACCATGCCTGGCCAGGTGAGTACTAACTGTCTAGACTCTACCCTCACATTCAACAACAGGATGGTTAGTATAGAAGAGGATGAGGAAGAAGATGATGACAGTGGGCAGTAGATTGGGAAATTGTAAATGATTATTCTAGGTAATGAAACATTGAGACCCATGAGCAGTGAAAGGTATTTTGCCTGCTTGATTGTCATGCAAATGTCCATGTAAAGTATGCACTATTTTTACGAATCACTTGAAGAGAGGACATACATTACTGTGAATGTACTTAGGTTACATTGTTTAGTTATTTTCCTCTGAGTCCATTGGAGGGAGCCAAAGCAGAACAAATTAACCTCTACGGGATCGCGGTATCCCGTATATGGGACTGTTGAGCTAACGTGCACTAATGTGATTAGCATGACTGTTGTAAGTTACAGCCAACTTTCCAGGACATAGACATGTCTTATATGGGCAGAACGCTTAAATTATTGTTAATCTAACTGCACTGTCCAATTTACAGTAGCTATTACAGTGAAAAAATACTATGCTATTGTTTGAGGAGAGTGCACAACAACAAAAAACGTATCACGGCAACTGGTTTGATACATTCACCTCTGAAGGTAAATATACTTACATTCAGTAATCTTGTTCTGAGGGTCCCAGAGATAAAATGTAGCATAGTTTTGTTTGATAAAATCAATCTTTATATTCAAATGTAGGAACTGGGTTCTACAGTTTGAACCCTTGCTGTCTCTGGCTCCACACCCACCCACACCCGGCCATCTAGATGTGTGAAAGTTAGTGTATAAGCTAATGATCCATCATGTATGACATTCCTGGGAGTGTGTAAACTTACATTTTGTATTTGCATATCATTTTTGTATGTTCTCTATAGTTATGTACTTGAAAATGTATCAATTGACCAATTCGGCACATTTGGGCAGACTTGATCCAAAATAGTCCAGTATTGCAACGCTTCACTGGATCAATCTGAAACTTTGCGCACACACAGTGGCCAAAATCTAAATTGCACCTAAACTACAATATTATATTGTGGCTTTTCTCTTGCATTTCAAAGATGATGGAACAAAAAAACAAAAAAATAAGAATGTTTTTTTGTTTGTATTATCTTTTACCAGATCAAAATGTGTTATATTTTCCTACATTAATTTCACATTTCCACAAACTTCAAGGTGTTTCCTTTCCACTCTACTCAGCAAATTGGATGTAGTCTATCACAGTGCCATCTGTTTTGTCACCAAAGCCCCATATACTACCCACCATTGTGACCTGTACGCTCTCGTTGGCTGGCCCTCACTACATATTCGTCGCCAAACCCACTGGCTCCAGGTCATCTATAAATCACTGCTAGGCAAATCCCCGTCTTACCTTAGCTCACTGGTCACTATAGCAACACCCACCCGTAGTCTGCGCTCCAGCAGGTATATCTCACTGGTCATCCCCCAAAGCCAACACCTCCTTTGGCTGCCATTCCTTCCAGTTCTCTGCTGCCAATGACTGGAACGAACTGCAAAAATCTCTGAAGCTGGAGACTCTTATCTCCCTCACTAACTTTAAGCGTCAGTTGTCAGAGCAGCTTACCGATCACTGCACCTGTACACAGCCCATCTGTAATTAGCCCACCCAACTACCTCATCCCCATAATGTTATTTATTTTGCTAATTTGCACCCCAGTATCTCTATTTGCACATCATCTTTTGCACATGTATCATTCCAGGGTTAATACGAAATTGTAACTATTTTGCACTATGGCCTATTTATTGCCTTACCTCTATAACTTGCTACATTCGCACACACTGTATATATATTTTCTGTTTGTATTTTTGACTTTATGTTTTGTTTACCCCATATGTAACTCTGTGTTGTTGTTTTTATTGCACTGCTTTGCTTTATCTTGGCCAGGTCGCAGTTGTAAATGAGAACTTGTTCTCAACTGGCTTACCTGGTTAAATAAAGGTGAAAAAAAAATTTTGTATCAGGAATATGCATATCCTTGCCTCAGGTCCTGAGCTACAGGCATTTAGATTTGGGTATGTCATTGTAGGTGAAAATTCAAAAAAAGGGTCAGATCCTTAAGAGGTTAATGTAAGCCCACACAGACGTTAACTAAGGACTGTTCTTCTGTCTCTGTGTGTTGTTGTCTCCCTACTGTCAGCTGGATAACCTTGTGTTGATCAACAAGATCAAGGAACAGCTGATGGCTGAGAAGATCAGACCACCCCACCTGCCGCCTTCCACAGTTCCCTCCCAACAGCAACTGCTGGGGAATCCTACACAGACAGAAGGTGGGCAGCATGTCCAGATGTCAGTTCAGAAACTGCAGCAGATGCAACAACAACTCCATGCCCACAGCCCGTCCCAGCCAGACATTGCACTGCACGCCCGGCCGGCCTCCAGCTCTGTTGCAGGTACCCTGACCGCCCCTACCTCACTTCACCAGGCCAGGCTCCACTGTCATTGGCCACCACCACCACTCACACACTTCTATTCTCAGAGGCGGTTCACATCAGAATGCATCTCTACTGTATGTCATGTGATCACACCCCCTCCCATCCTCCTTAATCTCATCAAGTGATTGGCACACATCCCCTCACTTTTTATAAATACTTTTTGTGTCACTTGTAATTATTGTAATAGGCCTACTTATAATCTTTTTCTATCGTTGATAGATGGATGGGGAAAATACTTATTGAGCCTTGTATGAGCCAGGCTTTATATTTTTTGTTGGTAAATTCTGTGAATCTTCTGCACATCTCTAACAGGACGTATTCTTGGTGATGTAAACTTTAATCTGGATGATAAGACAGCTATAAAAGCTAGAGGATTGTGGGAAGACTGGCATTTGCGTCAAATCATAGACCAACCCACTAGAACGAACCACCTGTCAGGTAATCACATAATTTTTTGACACAGTAATGCCCGCCTGGCACTTAGGGGAGACTGGGGTTAGTTGAGCCAAAGGGGTAAGTTGAGCCACGCTTGTTTCTAGGAAACCATACACAAAATGTATCATTTGACCAAGGTCATCATTTCATGGGGCGGCAGGTAGCTTAGTGGTTAAGAGTGTTGTGCTAGTAACAGAAAGGTCGCTGGTTCTAATCCCCGAGCCGACTAGGTGAAAAATCTGTCGATGTGCCCTTGAGCAAGGCACTTAACCCTAATTGCTCCTGTAAGTCGCTCTGGATAAATGACAAAAATAAAAAATAATGGAATCTGTGAAGGAAGAAACCACATGGAAAAAGTGTTTAGCAAGTTAGGTCCCAAAAAAATTATTTTCACCACGTCAAATGAATTTATTGTGTTAGAGGTTTCATGATGCTTGTATCTAAACCAAAGTAGGTAATTTTAAAATTGTTCTATACATCAGTTGGGGTCTCTATAAGCTTCAATATGAGGTCTTAAACTTAGCATGAAAGTGCATCCTTGTAGCTGTGTGGGCTAATATAGTCAAAATGTTTGCCTTGGGATAAGTTCAGCCAATGTTTGAGCCAATGGCAAGTTGAGCAAATTTAAGCATTTTCTTCCCAGGTGTAATGTAAGGCATATGAGATAACAACAGGGCCTGGCCTGTGTTAAGTGTTCAAAAAAAGTACAAAATGTTTGTTAGGTGTTAAGAGATGCTTAAAATGATTAAAAGGTGATTGTGTTGAATTGTGTTTGGGAAATAAAGATAGACATGGTTTTAAAAAGGTAGTGGTAATATTTAATTCATTACAGAAATTTGTAGGCGGCTTTACTTACCCTGTCCCCCATATCCGGGGTAATTTGTGCCAAGAGACCACTTTTTTCGGACAAGCTAGGTTTTCAAAACTGTAATGTTTACATGAATTCAGATTATTTCCAGGGATTCACAACATCCTAAATATATGTAGATATCTTTGTTAGAAATAATACTATATTTCCCTTGATGGAGTGATGATGAATGTAAGAAACGGCTCAACTTACCCAACTCTCCCCCACACGGAAAGAGAGGCAGACTTCCATAGCCCATTCCAAGATTCCTGTACTGTTGGCCTTTAGACTAATCCAGGCCTCTCAAAATGTGACAGGACTTTTGGCGTATCAACGTGATTTCAAACTACTTCAGCCAACAACTAGGCACAAAGAGTATTCCTATGTTGAGCGAATAACTAAAAGGGAACATGTCAATAGTTAATTGAGCATTGTCTCTGAAAAAGTATGCAAAAGTTTAGGAAGTAATCATGTAACTGACTGCATTCTTCTGTTGGAGATGACTCATGACATAATAATGTAGTGATTATTTAGTTTGTGTGTCATTTTTACCTCTTGACTTGCCAGGTCTGGCACTTTCCTCTCGAACGGGCAACCATAACACCTCAGAGGCCGTCACTCTGACCACACCCACCTCCAACAGCCAGAGCAGACTAGGCGGAGCCCCCTCACCACATCATGTCCTCTCAGGCTTGGCCAGTGGCCCTGGGATGGAGCAAATCAAATGTAACGGAGGCCTTGCAGGACTGCTGGGGCCCCCTCCCAAGATGGAGGGGCGAGGGCGTAAGAAGATAAAAGCTGAGAACGGTGGTGGCTCTCTGTTGGTGGTGCCTTACCCCATCCTAGCCTCAGGCAACGACCAATCCTGCCACACCATCACCCCCAAAGAGGGCAAATGCTACAGGCATGAGCACACATTAACCTTTTAGAGACTGCTACATTTTGATTATACTCCAAATGTCTTACTGTCATATTGATTGCTTACAGTGTCTTCCATGTGTGTGTTTGTTTTGTGCAGGTGTAAATCGTGCCCGCTGACCTTCTTCTCCAAGTCAGACATGCAGATCCACTCCAAGTCCCACACAGAGGCCAAGCCTCACAAGTGTCCTCACTGCTCCAAATCCTTTGCCAACGCATCCTACCTGGCCCAGCACCTCCGGATACACCTGGGCGTCAAACCTTATCACTGCTCCTACTGTGAGAAATGCTTCCGCCAGCTCTCCCACCTGCAGCAGCACACCAGGTCAAATCATGGACTAATTTGATCATTAGTTTGGTACTGTTTTCATGTACCCACCAACTAGGTTCTATAGTGTAGTGATGATGATGATGATGTATCTTTCCCAGAACCCCAAAGTCATGTGTGTACTACCCTTTTAAAGTGTATTTACCCTAGTGTTAATTATTTGTGTTCACTGAGTTTGCAAAACATTAAGAACCCCTTCCTACTAATGAGTTGCACCCCCCCGCCCCCTTTTGCCCTCAGAACAGCCTCAATTCGTTGGGGCATGGACTCTACAAGGTGTCGAAAGAGTTCCACAGGGATGCTGGCCCATGTTGACTCCAATGCTTCCCACAGTTGTGTCAAGTTGCCTGGGAGTCCTTTGGGTGGTGGACCATTCTTGATACACACGAAAAACTGTTGAGCGTGAAAAACCCAGTAGCGTTGGAGTTCTTGACACAAACCTGTGCACCTGGCACCTACTAACATACCCCGTTCAAAGACACTTAAATATTTTGTCTTGCCCATTCACCCTCTGAATGGCAGACATACACAATCCATGTCTCAATTGTCTCAAGGCATAAAAATACTTATTTAACCTATCTCATCTACACTGATTAAAGTGGATTTAACAAGTGACATCAATAAGAGATCATATCTTTCCCCTGGATTCACCTGGTCAGTCTATGTCATGGAAAGAGCAGGTGTTCTTAATGTTTTGTACACTCAGTGTATATATTAAGGTATTTTCTGACTTTATTGAACCGACAGAGAGAGAGGCTTACAGTAGGGAAAGATAGAGAGGGGTTGTGTCAAAGGGCAGTAGCCCGGATTTGTACCGACACCTTAGACATGTGTGCCAGATGCTGCGGCCTCATTAAATCTCCTCTTTACTATATATTTTACAGGATTCACACTGGAGATCGGCCCTATAAATGTGCCCATCCAGGTTGTGAAAAAGCCTTCACTCAGCTCTCCAATCTGCAGGTATGAACTGGACGGGATTTTCAGTTAACCTCATGCTCTGTCTTTTAACCACATCCTGGTCTTTTAACCACATCTCTTGCTCCCCGGCCACAAGATTTCCATCAACTTTCACACACACACTTACACAAACATCAACCCTGTTCTAGTTTTGAAGCGTTGATTTCGAGTTCCCTTTCAGTCAGTCAACTTCGGTACAATTTACTATGGGGGAGTCACACTCTCGCGACTTCGGTTGAAGGATCTACAATCACGCCTGACAAGGCCAATGCAATCCGTACCTCTCTGGAAGCCCCACCTTCCACAGGTGATAAGCGTAAGGCTTCATTCCTTCAATTATTCCGCTTTTCACCTCGGTGTGAACAGGAACAATTTTAGCGTGAATCACGCTACTAAAATAAACAATTGGAACAAATCAAATGCAATAGGTGTAGACTTTACAGTGAAATGCTTACTTACAAGCCCTTTCCCAACAATGCAGAGTTAAAAAGTAAGAACATTTTGCACAAAAAAAAGAAGAAATAGTAACACAAAAAATAAAATAACAATAACGAGACTATATACAAGGAGTACCGTTACCGAGTCAATGTGCAGGGGTACGAGGTAGTTGAGGTAATACAGTTGAAGTCTGAAGTTTACATACACTTAGGTTGGAGTCATTAAAACTTGTTTTTCAACCACTCCACAAATGTCTTGTTAACAAATTACAGTGTTGGCAAGTCGGTTAGGACATCTACTTTGTGCATGACACAAGTAATTTTTCCAACAATTGTTTACAGACAGATTATTTCACTTATAATTCACTGTATCACAATTCCAGTGGGTCAGAAGGTTACATACACCAAGTTGACTGTGCCTTTAAACAGCTTGGAAAATTCCAGAAAATGATGTCATGGCTTTAGAAGCTTCTGATAGGCTAATTGACATAATTTGAGTCAATTGGAGGTGTACCTGTGGATGTACAGTGGGGAGAACAAGTATTTGATACACTGCCGATTTTGCAGGTTTTCCTACTTACAAAGCATGTAGAGGTCTGTAATTTTTATCATAGGTACACTTCAACTGTGAGAGACGGAATTTTATTGCATGACATAAGTATTTGATACATCAGAAAAGCAGAACTTAATATTTGGTACAGAAACCTTTGTTTGCAATTACAGAGATCATACGTTTCCTGTAGGTCTTGACCAGGTTTGCACACACTTCAGCAGGGATTTTGGCCCACTCCTCCATACAGACTTTCTCCAGATCCTTCAGGTTTCTGGGCTGTCGCTGGGCAATACGGACTTTCAGCTCCCTCCAAAGATTTTCTATTGGGTTCAGGTCTGGAGACTGGCTAGGCCACTCCAGGACCTTGAGATGCTTCTTACGGAGCCACTCCTTAGTTGCCCTGGCTGTGTGTTTCGGGTCGTTGTCATGCTGGAAGACCCAACCACGACCCATCTTCAATGCTCTTACTGAGGGAAGGAGGTTGTTGGCCAAGATCTCGCGATACATGGCCCCATCCATCCTCCCGTCAATACGGTGCAGTCGTCCTGTCCCCTTTGCAGAAAAGCATCCCCAAAGAATGATGTTTCCACCTCCATGCTTCACGGTTGGGATGGTGTTCTAGCAGCAGCGTATGTGAAGAGTGTGAAAGAGTGTGTATGTGTGAGTGTGTGTGAACGTGTGTGTGTGTGTTGGAGTGTCAGTGTAGTATGTGTGAGTGTGTGGGTGGAGTCCAGTGAGTGTGTGGGTGGAGTCCAGTGAGTGTGCATAGAGCAAGAGAGTTAGTGCAAATAAAAAGGGGGGTCAATCCAAGTAGTCCCGGTAGCCATTTGATTAACTGTTCAGCAGTCTTATGGCATGGGGGTAGAAGCTGTTCAGGAGCCTTTTGGTCCTAGACTTGGTGCTCCGGTACTGCTTGCCATGCGGTAGCAGAGAGGAACAGTCTATGACTTGGGTGGCTGGAGTCTTTGACAATTTTTAGGGCCTTTCTCTGACACTGCCTGGTATAGAGGTCCTGGATGGCAGGGAGTTCGGCCCCGGTGATGTACTGTGCCGTACGCACTACCCTCTGTAGCGCGTACGGATACCAAGCAGTTTCCATACCAAGCGGTGATGTAGCCAGTCAAGATGCTCTCAATGGTGCAGCTGTAGAACTGTTTGAGGATCTAAGGGCCCGTGCCAAATCTTTTCAGCCTCCTAAGGGGGAAGAGGCATTGTCGTAACCTCTTCATGACTGTGTTGCTGTGTTTATGACCTGCTCCAACCCGCTCCAATACAGCACCGTCGATGTGAATGTGGGTGTGCTCGGCCCTTCGTTTCCTGTAGTCCATGATCAGCTCCTTTGTCTTGCTGACGTTGAGGGAGAGGTTGTTTCTGACCTCCTCCCGATAAGGTGTCTCATCGTCGTCGGTGATCAGGCTCACCACCGTCGTGTCGTCACCGAACTTAATGATGATGTTGGAGTTGTGCGTGGCCACGCAGTTGTGGGTGAACAAGGAGTACAGGTGGGGACTAAGCACACCCACCGTGTTGAGGGTCAGCGTGGCGGATGTGTGGTTGCCTACCCTCACCACCTGGGGGCGGCCCGTCAGGAAGTCCAGGATCACGAGACTGTCTTACGTTGCGCCAACTAAACTGTCCCTTAGTGGTAGAGCGTGCTCACCCCCTGGACGTTGTGTGCTGAAGTTTGTATGGTTCTCAAAGTTTCCTAATCACAAACAATTAGTTATTCTTCAAATTGCTTGACTTGGCTATAGCATTAAGTAAGATGGCTAGCACGACCGAAATGACGAATGCTAACAAGCCGGGTTCTGGTTCGCGAACATGCCCCAATGAATTAAAAGATACTCACGTTTGTTGTCTTGTATGCCTCGGCTCGGTGCATGCTCAGGCTGCCCTCGCTAAAATCAGTTTGTGTGCGAGACTAGGGGATGGCTGGCACTGTTTCCCTACTAGTCCGCCGTGCAGGTTCTCTTGACAATAGTGTAGCATTCTTTAAGGGGCTTGACGGTTCCGATAGTGACTTCCTCTCCCGGGTGCCCGTACCTCAGCTGAGTCTGACCTGTGGGAAGCAGAGATGGTTTGGGTCATTGGTCGAGTCGAATGTCTCCCGGCTCCTGTACGCTCTGTCACCGGTTACGGGAGGCTTGATTAAGCACCGCTTGCCTCTCTTCCCAGAAGGTTGCGGGTCCCACCTCGGTGATCCAGTCCTACGTAAACTTTTGAGACCAAGCTAGCTAACAAGCGCTGCATAGCATGTCCCTGGTTGCAGATATTTTATCCAGGTGGGACCCTGGACCTTCTGTATATTGACAACCTTTGGAAAGAATTGTATTTTTACTGTATTATGTTTTGAGTTATAACATGATTGGATTTTCAGCATGATTTTCCTCCATTTCCATTCCCACCTCTCAGAATTCTGGTCAGATGATGGTCTGGTTTGACAGGAAGTGCATTTGTAGCAAGATAAAGTTTCCCTACCCTGAAAGTCTAGACAAATAGGTCTGTGAATCGTGTAATGTAATCACTGTGTCTGTCTGTTTCCCTGCCTCAGTCTCATCAGAGGCAGCACAACAAAGACAAGCCCTACAAGTGTCCGAACTGCTACCGTGCCTACTCGGACTCCGCCTCACTGCAGATCCACTTGTCTGCGCATGCCATCAAAAACGCCAAGGCCTACTGCTGCAGCATGTGTGGCAGAGCCTACACCTCAGTGAGTAGGCTATGGGGCAGCATGAGCTGATGTTTTCACAGGATGTGGGCAAACATTGTCAACGTCGTTAGCGACGGAGTCCTAGTGTTGTTTCTTAATTCTCATTCAATATATAAATTGTATTGGTACTGTAGATCAACACTCTAGACCAGGGGTGTCAAACGTACGGCCCGCGGGCCGGATTTTTTTTGAAGTATAAAAATGCGCAGCAATTTTTCAATTAAATAAACTGCTGTTCCAATTGCGTCCACTGGATGGCGCAATAGCAATTGTGTTAAGCAAGCAAACTGTTTATACCGGGGCAGAGCAAGTAGGTCAAGCACGTGCAGCCAATGAGCTACTTTGTTTTGCCCGCGATATTTATTACGGCTTCTACTTTTAACATTATGTGCTTTGGCACCCTCATTGCCCCAATATGTCTCTGTCAAAAAAGAGAAAAGTGGACGCAGAGTGCAGAGTGTTCCAAGAAAAATGGTCATCCTATTTATTCACGGAATTGAATGGGAAAGCTGTATGTTTGGTGTGTTCAGAGCATGTTGCAGTGCTGAAAGAATATAACCTTCGTCGCCACTATGTGAGTCTTCATGCCGACAAATATGACAACTTTCAAGAACAGCGGAGAAGAGAGAAGGTGAATGAACTGTTGGCGGGTCTGAAGAAACAGCAGTCTGTGTTTACTCACAGCCGAGACATCAGTGACGCTGCAGTGAAGCTAGCTACCTCATTGCTAATGAAATCGCAGTGGCTTCAAAACCATTTAGTGAGGGTGAATTTGTAAAAACATGCATGATGAAGGCAGCGGAGATTGTGTGCCCTGAAAAGCACCAGGCTTTTGCAAATATCAGCCTGACAAGAAACACAGTTGCAGACAGGATTTCCGATCTTTCAGTGGATTTGGACAGCCAGTTGAAGCAAAAAGTAAAGTCATTTATTGCGTTTTCGGGTTTGCAATTGATGAAAGCACGGACATTACAGATGTTGCACAACTGGCCATTTTCATCCGCGGAGTTGATGACACATTGACCGTCACCGAGGAGTTCGTGGAGTTGGTGCCGATGACAGATACAACGACAGCAGCTGATATTTTTACCGCACTCGTCGGCGCGCTGGACAGGGTCGGAGTGGACTGGTCCCGCGCTGTCAGCCTGGCTACAGATGGTGCGCCCTCAGTGATCGGGAAAAAAGCAGGCGTTGTGACAAAGTTCAGAGAGAAAGTGCAATCTGCAAATGGAGGACGTGATTTTTTGACTTTTCACTGTATTTTGCACCAGGAGGCTTTGTGTTGCAAGTCATTAAAGATGGATAACGTCATGAAGGTGGTCATCCAAACTGTTAATTTCATCCGATCCAGAAGCCTGAATCACCGTCAGTTTGACAGCCTTCTCAGAGAGAAAGACCACATCTATGGCCTGCCATACCACACTGAGGTAAGATGGTTAAGCCGAGGTGCTGTGCTGAGGCGTTTCTTTGATTTACGAGAAGAAATTGAACAGTTGATGGAAGAAAAGGGCAAACCAGTGTTAGAATGTCCTTCCGCAGAATGGATACAGGACCTTGCATTTATGGTGGATGTTACAGAGCACCTGAATAACTTGAACAAACAGCTGCAAGGGCGCAACAAAGTTGTCACGCAGTATTATGACAGCATACGTTCTTTCAAGTTGAAGCTGTCATTGTGGGAGACGCAACTTGCCGGTGGTGATGCAGCTCACTTCCCCTGTCTGAAAAATGTGTGCGCGACCCAACATGTGGCAGACATGAAGCGGTTCAAAGATAAAATAACGGGACTGTTACGGGAGTTTGAGCAACGCTTTCAGATTTATGTTGATGTTTTTATGTTGATGTGCTATTGTTTTTAATTGATTTTTTTGTATATTTAACCTATTCTTGACTCTGTGGTTCTTGCACTTGTTTGGGGAACAGGATTTCATTATTTTATCTAACTTTCTGCCTGAGAAATGACACCCTGATATAGTTCTGTGATATATGGGGAAAAAATATTGTATGCTCACCATTGTGCAATTTCCCACTTAAAAAATGAGAGAGGCCTGTCATTTTCATCATAGGTACACTAACTCTAGCGACAATTGAGGTAAAAAATCCAGAAATCACATTGTAGATTTTTAATGATTTTATTTGCAAATGATGGTGGAAAATAGTAATTTGGTCACCTACAAACAAGCAAGATTTCTGGCTCTCACAGACCTGTAACTTTTCTTTAAGAGGCTCCTCTGTCCTCCACTCGTTACCTGTATTAATGGCACCTGTTTTGAACTTGTTATCAGTATAAAAGACACCTGTCCACAACCTCAAACAGTCACACTCCAACTCCACTATGGCCAGACCAAAGAGCTGTCAAAGGACACCAGAAACAAAATTGTAGACCTGCACCAGGCTGGGAAGACTGAATCTGCAATAGGTAAGCAGCTTGGTTTGAAGAAATCAACAGTGGGAGCAATTATTAGGAAATGGAAGACATACAAGACCACTGATAATCTCCCTCGATCTGGGGCTCCACGCAAGATCTCACCCCGTGGGGTCTAAATGATCACAAGAACGGTGAGCAAAAATCCCAGAACCACACGGGGGGACCTAGTGAATGACCTGCAGAGAGCTGGGACCAAAGTAACAAAGCCTACCATCAGTAACACACTACGCCGCCAGGGACTCAAATCCTGCAGTGCAAGATGTGTCCCCCTGCTTAAGCCAGTACATGTCCAGGCCCGTCTGAAGTTTGCTAGAGTGCATTTGGATGATCCAGAAGAGGATTGGGAGAATGTCATATGGTCAGATGAAACCAAAATATAACTTTTTGGTAAAAACTCAACTCGTCGTGTTTGGAGGACAAAGAATGCTGAGTTGCATCCAAAGAACACCATACCTACTGTGAAGCATGGGGGTGGAAACATCATGCTTTGGGGCTGTTTTTCTGCAAAGGGACCAGGACGACTGATCCGTTTAAAGGAAAGAATGAATGGGGCCATGTTTCATGAGATTTTGAGTGAAAACCTCCTTCCATCAGCAAGGGCATTGAAGATGAAACGTGGCTGGGTCTTTCAGCATGACAATGATCCCAAACACACCGCCCGGGCAACGAAGGAGTGGCTTCGTAATAAGCATTTCAAGGTCCTGGAGTGGCCTAGCTAGTCTCCACACCTCAACCCCATAGAAAATCTTTGGAGGGAGTTGAAAGTCCGTGTTGCCCAGCGACAGCCCCAAAACATCACTGCTCTAGAGGAGATCTGCATGGAGGAATGGGCCAAAATACCAGCAACAGTGTGTGAAAACCTTGTGAACGCTTACAGAAAACGTTTGACCTGTGTCATTGCCAACAAAGGGTATATAACAAAGTATTGAGAAACTTTTGTTATGACCAATACTTATTTTCGACCATAATTTGCCATTAAAATCCAATGTGTGATTTTTTTTCTCATTTGTTGTCAAGTGTTCCTAGATGAAAATCAGCCTCCTCATCTTTTAGTGAGAAACTTGCAATTGTGGCCAAATAACTGTACTTCTGTGAATCACTGAGGCATTGTGTGTTTGTGTGTTCTTTGTCCTCAGAACTTTCAAATAACTTGAGGTGTTTTATGATTAATAGTGATGTTGTGCTTTTGGACACTGTCCTCAGGCTCCAGCTTTATGTTTATATGTTTTTATGTTGATGTGCTATTGTTTTTAATTGATTTTATTTTATTTGTCTATTTAACCTATTCTTGACTCTGTGGTTCTTGCACTTGTTTGGGGAACAGGATTTCATTATTTGTATCTACATTTCTGCCTGAGAAATGACACCCTGATATAGTTCTGTGATCTGTGAAACAGTTCTGTTAATCACTGAGGCATTGTGTGTTTGTGTGTCTTTTTCTTTAGAATTTTCTAATAAACTTGACGTGTTTTATGATTAATAGTGATGTTGTGCTTGTACTATTTTGGACTCACTGTCCTCAGGCTCCAGCTTTATGTTGTATGTTGATCGTATTAAAACAAAGAAAACAATCTGAAGTTGTTGTTTTTAAGTTATATATACCATGATTTTTCCGGTCCGGCCCACTTGGGAATAGATTTTCCTCCATGTGGCCCCTGAGCTAAAATGAGTTTGACACCCCTCTAGACTCTTTTTAAAATTACACTTTTGGGGAAGCATTTGTACCTCGTTGTCTACTGAGGCTTGGTGTTAACTGAACCTTTATTTGATGTTTGTCCTCAGGAGACCTACCTTATGAAGCACATGTCCAAACACACGGTGGTGGAACACCTGGTGAGCCATCACTCTCCACAGAGGATGGAGTCTCCAAGTATCCCCATACGGATCTCCCTCATCTGAGCACTTCACCCTGACACCCTACCCGACACCCATGGAGGAACCCCCTGTAAGGTTACCCCTCCACTTAAGCGTAATCAATCCCAGATATTGGCTTTTATTTGTTTGTATTCCCCCATGTGGGTTCCAAAAATGTGTCAAACTGTATTTGTACCTTATCAAGAGGTATACTTTCTTTCTTTTTTTACACCTCCTGTCATCTAAATGGTGTGGTTGGGTAATGTTTGGGACATCCAAAGATGATTTTACAGCACTTTCAGGCCTCATAGTATTGGCCAAAAAGGTTTTTAGTCTACTAAGACTATAAAAGGCATTGCTCCAGGCAGCTAAAAAGTTAACCATAGGTGTTATAATGCATTATAGGACCACTCCTATTTTCTTTTTATATTGTCCTTTTCTCTCTTTACTCTTTGCAAAAGTATATTTACATTGGGAACTTTACCTTCCTTTTGGTTAGGTCAACTGACCAATGGCCATTAAGACGAATTCCTAAATCATGAATCCAAGTATTTGTTTTTGCCACTCCTAATGTCAATGTTTGCATCATTTTGTTACTTAAAAAGGAATTGTTCTCATGTAAGCTTTATCACGTTTAAGTATGTCTCTTAGACACAATGCACACAAAATACTTTCCAATTGGAGGGTCAATACCTATGTTTTATTGTTGTAGTTGTATTTTTCATCTTGTTGATGTTATTGTCCATGGTATTAAAAAGGACACTGCTGAAGGCAATCCTGAAAAGCACCAAAATATATTTTTAATCTGATGTTGGTATTTGTAGAAACTCAGCATGTAAGAGTAAAAATATTTTGGTTCGCCTAATTTATGTATTGAAGAAATGTAGCACAAAAAATTGTCCATTATGGAACTGATATATTTGTTGGTTCAAGCCATTCCAGTACCTGACAGATTTTCAACAAGATTTTAATGGAGGCAGACAACTAATTTCTTCAAACACACATTTTATTATAGTTAGAGGGTTCAATGTGACTCGATTGAACCCTCTACCATTTGTCATGCTGTGGTAAATGACATGCATGAGCTCTGCCTGTGTGGTACAAATATTTGTTTACCGACGTTGATGAGGAAGGGGTCTCCTCATATTTCCTTTTATCTTACCTATGAAATAGGAATGAAAAGTACAAATACGAGAATTCACAGGTTTGCAACCAAATGAATGTAATCCTTTTAAATTGTTATATTTTCCCCATGTCTGCCAGTGATGGATATGGTGTGCTATCTGGTAGAAAATGGCAGAGCACATTACAAAATGTGATACCTCCTGGCCTTTCATTGGTTAACACCTGTGAAACTCTTTGCGAAGAACAACATGTGTTGCCTCCTCACTGTCTCCTTTTCTATTGAGTGATTATTTGTACATTTATTCTGCAGCTATGTCCTGCAGGTTATTTTATGCCCTTTAATGTTTGAATTGAAAATTAGTAAATTGCTGTTTTGGGTGTCCCATGAAATATGTATAGATATCTTTATGTACTAAAAGACCTCCTTGTGTCTTGTAATCATTTTGCTCTCATGTCTAAATATGAATGATTAACATTTAGTTAATTTTATACGCATTTAAGCCTTAACTTTATTATCATTGTATTACATTTTTATTTGCCCCATATTGATGCTTCTCTGTACCCAGTGTTTTATGCATTTTTATTTCATAGCATGGAATATACTGTAAATAAACTATATTAACTGTTAACCCCTTTTCTATAGTAAATGATTATATAGGTCTAGCTATTATTACAAAAATCATTTTTTCATTTGTCATGCATTGTGGTACCATATACACATTACACACAGTCAAGACTTAGAGTGAATTGACTTTGTGTAAGAATTAGCAAAAAATAAAAGTATGAAAATGTTCCAATAGTTTTGGATTCTTTTTATTGGCCAATATGTCCTTACATAATAATGTATAAATTATACTTCAAGACCTACATAAGCATTTCTTATCAACTGTTCCTTGGCAAACATTTATTGCAAATATGTATATGATGCTGGAGATACTTTGCCTTTCAGTTAGGCTACCTGAGTAAGGTATGTACTGCAGTCAGGAATGGTCACCTCATCCACCTGAATCAACAGATTCCCTCATGCCTGTTCATAGCCCCAAATTGACTCCCATACCATTCTATGACCTTTTGATGCCAATAAGCATTTGAAATTGTACTCTTGATACTCGCCTGGTGATGTTCAGCACCACGCTTTCGTGATGGTATATCTCACAATTTATTTTGACCTGTCCTTGATTATTTTCCCTTGTTGCTTTGGCACACACGCCTCATCTCGAAAGTATCTCGCTCCGTCGTGTGATATGACAAATGAACTCAGGATAATCCGACGAATTGTCAGATGAGTCATGTTGGCATGGGGAAAGATGCCGCGTTCACGTGCTATCCGAGTTATCGGAAGCTCTTAGTTCCAAGTGGGACATTTCATTTTAACGACCCTACAAGACGTAATTACAGGGAAGCTCGGAGAAATGTTTGTTACCTGAGTTGCCGAGTTGTGACGTTTCACCACTTACCTTTGACCTTTTCAACCATATGACAACACGTTTCTCATTTCCCACGAGCACATGAAGCCACCCAAACTTCTCCCCCAGGATACTACTTCTCTTGAGATTAATGCCGCGTTCTGATTCGTTGAACGCTGCAGTTATATAACTACAACCAGCTAGCAAGTCGGAAAAATGATAGTTTCCTAGTTCTGACTAGCACTTGAAAGCGGCATCAGTTTATTATAGACGCATCAACAAGCAGGTGTGTTTACAAGAGCAGGTAGGCTACAATATTTCCATCTACACCTGATGACATTGATGCTGTTTTTAATTTGTGTTAACGCTCTAATTCATGTTTTTGTGATATTTGTGCCTTATCCCTGCTGTATTTAGGCTACTTTAGAATCACATATGTATGATAAATGTATAGCCTAAATTTAAGTAGGCCTACATTTTATTAACCTAAATCCAAGTAAATAATTACTTATCTTTATAATGCGCTGTTCATCATGGCCATATAAACTCAGCTATTCGTTAC